TCCCAAACATTTGGAGAGAGGCTGGTGGATTGTAAACGTTCCATACCTGAGGATATGCACTACATGTTTCACCCAACTCTTCTTTGGATCTGCACACACAGCCAATCTTCTCTTTGTGTATAAGCTGAAAAAAGTCAGAGAATTTGATTTATGTTTCAATTTCATTTATTGTTTAAATTTTTTTTTTCCTTTTCCTCCACAGGACATGCAATGGAAATTTCATATTCCAATTGGTGGCTCTACGCCCTAAACATTTTATTTGTTTCAGAGGTGAAACAAAATGCAAAAAAAAAAATTTCTTCTTATAAAGTTTGATGCAAGAAATGAAAGTGATTCTCCCTGACTTTCTCTGCAATCTAACAAAAGGTTATGCAGTAACAGGAAGATAAAGTCCCAGAATTATTTAATTTTGTTGTTGGTGGCTACATGAAATATGTATACATCTGATCAATAACTTATATCATTGAAAATATAATACCCTATATAAATCAAGAATATTATATGAAGGGCTTCCCTGGTGGTGCAGTGGTTGAGAGTCCGCCTGCCGATGCAGGGGACATGGGTTCGTGCCCCGGTCCGGGAAGATCCCACATGCCGCGGAGCGGCTGGGCCCATGAGCCATGGCCGCTGAGCCTGTGCGTCCGGAGCCTGTGCTCCGCAACAGGAGAGGCCGCAAGAGTGAGAGGCCCGCGTACCGCAAAACAAAACAAAACAAAACAAAAGAATATTATATGAGATAGTGTAACTACTCTGAGCTTTAGCTTATAGCCCAACCACTTTCTGGTACAAGATGCTCATTTCAAAGTTTAGGTTTTTCATATTTTCCTGAGATAGATAGTATCTTAGTAGCTTATAAGTTTATCTTCAAAAGTGATTTTGCCCTCAACTATGTTCATTTTTTTTAAACTAAGTTTTGCCTTATTCCAGTTCCATTTAAAGTGAATTTTGAAGAATAAATGTACTACTAAAACACAGCTAGCTTTTTGCCACATGAGTTATTTCTGAATGAAACTCCAAAAAGGCAAAGATTTTTCTACTTGAAATTCTCATGTACTCCTAATACAAATGAATTAGAATCCCTTAATAACTTACATGACTGCATTGATGTCACAAGCTTCATTGGCCAGCTGCTGTGTGAACCCCACGATAAATTTGGGATGAAGGATTTTTTCTGTATATTGGAGGCAGCAGTCAAAGTTGCTTGCTGCTAAAAAGAAATGAAAGATATTGAGTCCACATGAATGAATGAATGAACTTATTCTGTGATAGGTATCGTGGAACTACTTGAAATTGTGGAAAACCTAGAATCTGATTTATATGGTAAATAAACTATTTAGAGGACCACCTCCAATATCTTTGAGACCCATTTTAACATAGTTTCCAGTTCTCTTGAAAAAAAGTAGTTTGTGTACTGGGAAATTTTGGTTCAATAATACAGTTTAGAAGTACATGAGACATCAGTCTCATAAAAGGAATATCTTTAGTAAGAAACACAAACTGACAGTATTTTATTTCATTCACTATAATCACTCAAGAATATGAGTACCTTCCACTTGAAGAAACCCTTATAAATAACCTTCTAAATTCAGAAAAAAAAGTAAATTAGCAAAGTTTTAATCTATTATCTGGCTACTGAATATTGAGAGGAGGGGAAGGACAAGAAGTTACAAAGAAAACTGTGATTTATAGGAGCTGCTAATAAGAGCTACAATTAAAACACTTTGAAATTGTAATATTAGTTAATGGGAATTTTTTATTTTGTTCATAAAAGTTCAACACATGTATTTTCAGGAATGCACCTGTTGCTAAAAGTGATGTCCTCTTAGTAATAAAGCAATTCTTGGACACTCCCCTGAGTTAAATTACAACCTACTGTATCCTTGACCTGCTGTAAGTGATAAATGTAATCCCAAAGTTGGCAAGTGATGTCCCCAAGGCCTTGCAAGGATGAATTCAGGTGCCATAATCCACCCCTAAAGGATGAGTTTTGAACTCTGCTAAAACTATTCAGTTGGGAAATGAGAAAACTAGGGAAATGGGAGAATTTTCTACATTTCAAAATGGCCCCATTCACTGGTAATGTTACACAATTTACATCTCTCCCAGAATAGCACTTTGGGTTGTTCTGGAGTTCGAGGGTCTCTAAGAGCCCACCACCACTGCCCCCCAAATTTGCTGGGATTGACAGCAGAGAAAAAAATCCTGATAGGCAGCAGTAACCTTTCCCTCTTCCACTCACCAATGAGATGACAACCCCCATCACTTCCTTTTGAAGATTTTCTAACAGGCTTCCAACCCTTGGGGACCCCTAGATGAGCTCAAGGCTTAGAGAAAAATGAAAATAGTTCTTCATCCTGTGCTAGCAGAAAGAGTGACACTTACCTTCTGACTTGCTGCAGAGGTGGAGTAGCAGCAGTGATATCAAAGCAGCCAGGAGCAAACTCTTGCTACTGCACATCATTTTCAGCTCAAAGAATAGATGTCTCAGTGCTGGGTACCTAGTGCCCTGGGAGAGCTGTTATGCTTGATAGCAGCCTGGGCCTGGGATGGCTCTACTTATAGCAAATATTTGAATGCACATAGAAGGCGTGTTCTCACATGGGGTTTTCCCCATTGATTAACCTGCCCCATCATGTCATCACAAAGAAGAAACCACAGGGAAAACTTCCTGCCTTTCTCTAATGTTGGGAAGGTGTGAAGGGCAGGATGGACGGGGAGGGAGGGTTAAGAAGGGGAAAATCCTGTAAAATCCTTTGAATTTGCAAAGAAGGAAACACAGCTCAGCCCTGCGTCCCAGAAAAGATGTCTGTCCTGTTTTAACTTAATCTCTTGTCTCTGTAAAGAGAGAAGGATTAACAGTGATACAAAGATAAGCCCCACTCGGGAACATTCCAGGACTCCTATTGTTACACTCTGATTGCTTTCCAGAGCCAATAGGGGAGGGAGAGGATGAGGCAGGACACCAAGCATACTAAGGCATTTACAATTTCATCGTTGCTGCTCAGCTGTCACCAAAGACCTTGAATTTCTGGGCTATAATGCAGAGCAGGTAATATAGCAATGCTTAGTAGTGTCCCCAGTTTTAGTGGAAAACACCAGCTCTTAAGTGAGGCTCAAGTTTCAGCTTTACCTTAGTTTCAATCTCACTCTTCTAAATCTTCTACGTTTTACATGACTCTAATCAACATTGCAGCCCAGAAAATGACCCTCATCTGCCCATAACTCTTCATGCTAATGTGGTTACATAACTCAATACAAAGCCTCAGAAGAAAAAAAAGAAGGAGGAAAAAAGTAGGAAGAATATCATTGTATTCTAGGGACTGGGTTTGCAGGAAGGGTATGACTATAAAGAAACACCACAAGGGAGTTTTTGCGGGGGGTGACGAAGTTATTTTCTATCCTATTATGGGAATGGTTACACATCACTACACATGTGTTAAAATTCATAGAAATGTACATCAAAAGAAAAAAGTGAATTGTATTATACGATCATTTAAAAAATAAAGTTTAAAGATATCAAAATCATAAAAAAGAACTGTCCACTATAAACAAATAGATTGAAAGTAAAAGATCAAAAAAGATATGCCATGCAAAGAATAAACAAAAGAGAACTGGAGTTGCTATGCCTATGTCTAAAAAAGTAAATTTTAAAACAAAAGCAATTTACTAGAGATAAAGAGGGAGTTCCATAATGATAAAGGATCAATCTGTCAGAAAGATATAAAAATCATGACCATATATACATCTAACAACAGCACCTCAAAATACATAAAGCAAAAATTGACAGAATTGAAGGGAAGAATAAACAATTCAACAATAAAGATAGACATTTCAATACCATATTTTCAATAATGAATAGAAAAACTAGACAGAAGATGCACAAGAAAACAGAAGATTCAAACAACACTATAAACCAACTAAGCCTAACAGATATCAATAGAACACTCTACCCAACAACAATAGAAGAGGCATTCTTCCAAAGTTCATATGGAACATTCTGCCAGATAAATCATATGTTAGGCCATAAAACAAGTCTTAATAAATTTCAAAGGATTGAAATCATACAATGTAATTAGAATTCAGTAACCGAAGAAAATTTGAGGAATTCACAAATATGTGGATATTAAACATTACATGGCTAAATAACCAATGTGTCAAAGAAGTCATAAAGAAAGTAGAAAATACTCTGAGATGAATGAAAATGAAAACACAACATACAAAAACTTATATGATGCAGCTGCTCAGAGAGAAACGTATAGCGGGGATACATGAAATAGAGAATAGCAAAAAATAGAGGAAATCAAAGTAACCAAAATTTGGTTCTTTGAAAAGACAAACAAAATTAACAAGCTTTAACTAGGCTAACCAAGAAAAAAAAAGGGAGGGGTGGAGTGACGAGAAGACAAATTGTTAAACTCAGGAATGAAAGAAGGGCCGTCACTACCAGCTTTAAGAAATAAAAAGGACTAAAAGGGAATATGATGAACAACTGTATGCCAATACATCAGATAAAATAGATGAAAGGGACAAATTACTAGAAAGACACAAATTACGAACCTGACTCAAGTAGACATAGAAAGTTTGAATATGTAACAAGATATCAAATTGGTAACTAAAAATATTTCCACAAAGGAAAGTCCAGACACAGATGGCTTCACTGGTTAATTCTACCAAATATTCAAAGAAAAATTAAAACCAATTCTTCACAAACTTTTTTAAAAAGTAGAAGAGGAGGAAACAATTTCTAACTATTCTATAAGGACGGTATTACACTGATAGCAAAATAAGACAGAGACATCACAAGAAAAAAAAAAACTACAGACCAGTATCTCTTATGAATACAGACACAAAAATCCTCAGCAAAACACTAGTAATCTGTATCCAGCAACATATAAAAAGGACATAAACTAGGAAATGTAATACACAATATTAGCTGAACAAAAACAAAAACCGTGTGAAAAGCATTTGACAAAAATTTAACACCCTATCATAATAAACGCTCAGCGAACTAGGAATAGTAGAGAACGTCTTCAACCTGATAAAGGTCATCTATGAAAATCCCACAGCTAATATCATACTTAATGTTTAAAGACAGAATGCTTTCCTTCTGAGATCAAGACCAAGACAGGGATGTCCACTCTAACCACTACTATTCATCATTGTACTGGAGGTTCTAGCCAGGATAATTAGTCAAGAAAAGGGGGAGGCACCCAGATTGGAAAGGAAATAGTAATGATCTTAATTTGCAAGTGAGATAATCTTGTATGTAGAAAATCCTAAAGAATCTACTAAAAAACTATTAGAACTAATAAGTTCATCGAGGTTGCAAGATTCAAGATCAATATACAAAAGAATATTAATTGTATTTCTATACAGTGTCAATAGACAACTTGAATATAGAATAAAAAAGCAATTACTTTTACAATAGCATAAAAGAATAAAATATCTAGGTATAAAATTAACAAAACAAGTGAAAAGTAACTTAAAACTACAAAACTTTATTAAAGAAATTAAAGAAGACTTCTAAATAAATGGAAAGACGAGCAGTGGGATGAATTGGGAGATTGGGATTGACATATATACACTAATATGTGTAAAATAGATAACTAACAAGAACCTGCTGTATAAAATAAATAAATAAAATAAAATTCAAAAAAAAAAGAAGCTAAACATACACTTACGATATGACGCAGCCATTGTACTCCTAGGTATTCACCCAAAAAGAGTGCATATGCCCCCACAAAAATTTTTCCACAAATGCTTATAGTGGTGTTTTTTTCAAACCAAATAAGTGATTATAGTTGATTTATAATGTTGTATTAGCTTCAGGTATACAGCAAAGTGATTCAGTTATATGTATATGTGTATATATATACATTCTTTCTTCAGATTCCTTTCCATTATAGGTCATTACAAGATATTGCATATAGTTCCCTGTGCCATGCAGTAGGTCCTTGTTGTTTATCTATTTTATATAGAGTAGTTTGCTGTTTACCTATTTTATATATAGTAGTTTGTATCTGCTAATCCCAAACTCCTAATTTATCCCCCCCCACACCATCATGTCCTTTCCTCTTTGGTAACCGTGAGTTTGTTTTCTATGCCTGTGGGTCTATTTCTGTTTTGTAAATAGGTTAATTTGTATCATTTTTTTTGGATTCCTCATATAAGTGATACCAAATGAAAAAATTTTTTTAATTTAAATAAATAAATAAATGGAAAGACATCCCATGTCATGGATTGGAAGTTATCCTTGTTAAGATGGCACTACTCCCTAAATTGATCTACGTATTCAATACAAGTCCTATCAAAATCCCAGCTGAGTTCTTTTCAGAAATGGAAAAGAAGATACTCAGACTCATATAGGATTACAAGGGATCCCAAATAGCCTCCTGATGACAAAACTTACTATAAATCTACACTAACCAAGACATGTGATACTGGCATAAGTGTAGACACATAGATTAAAGGAATAGAATTGAGAGTCCAGACATAAACCTTCATATCTATGGTCAACTGATTGTTTATTATGGTGCCAAGACCATTCAATGGAGGAGAGAATAGTTTTTTCAGCAAATGATGCTGGAACAACTGGATATCCATATGCAAAAGAATGATGTTAATCATGTTAATGATTAAGTCAAAACGGATCATAGAATTAAATATAAGAGCTAAAACTCTGAGCCTCTTAGAAGAAAACAGACGTGCATCTTCATGACCTTGGGTTGGGCAATGATTTTTCAGATATAAGAACGAAAGCTCAAGCAACAAAATAAAAAACCAACTGGACTATATCAAAACTATAAACTTTTGTGCTTCAAATGATACTATACAAATGTGAAAAACAACCCACAGAAAGATAGGAAATATTTTCAAATTATATATCTGATAAAGGACTTATGCTGTATCCAGAATATATGAAGAACTCCTGCAACTAAATAATGTAAAGATAAATAACCCAATTTAAAAATGGACAAAATACCCAAATAAACATTTCTCCTATGATATATAAGTGGTCAAAAAGCACATGAAAAAATACTTAACATCATTAGTCATTAGATAAATGTAAATCAAAACCACAATGACATACCACTTCACATCCACAAGGATGGCTATCATCAAAAAGATGGATGAGTGTTAGCAATGATGTGGAGAAATTGGAATACTCACACATTATTGATGGGAATGAAAAATAGTGCAGTTGCTTTAAAACAGTTTGACAGTTCCTCAAATGGTTAATCATAGCATTGCCATATGACCCAGCAATTCCACTCCTAGTACACTCAAGATAAATAATATATTTCCACATAGAAACCTGTATGAATGTTCATGGCAGCATTATTCATAATAGCCCAAAAGTGGAAATAATCCAAATGCCATCAACTGATGAACAGATACATAAAATGTGGTGAATGTATACAATGGCATATTCTTTGGCAATAAAAATGAAAAGAGTACTGGTGGATGCTACAGCATGGGTGAACCTTGC